TAAATGTTATTTGTATAAATTAATGATATGGGTGTGAGTTTTTTAATTCGAAACAAGGAATAAATAAATAAAGTAATTTGGTGACATTTCTTTTTTTCGATAAATTAATAATATAGTATAAATATTATATTTTATATCTTATTTTTTTATTGTTTGAAAAATATTTCATTTTATGTAAACAAAAATATTTATGAAGTATGACAGTAAGAACATAACTGAAATTAACTACTAAATTAAAATAAATATTAATTGGGTCATATTTTTATGGATATTTTAACATAGTATAATTTTATTATTGTATTGTTACACAATTGTTATTATTTAATATTTTTTCTACTTATTCTACTTGTATATTTTGATTAATTTCTACTAATTTTTTGGCATTCCTTCAACGAAACATAATTTAAAATGGGTCACACATTTATCTAATGTGTTATATTATATTATTTTTGATTGAAAAGTTTTAATAAAGAAAATTTAAAATGAAAATATATACTTCTATTACTGTTAATATTATTTCGGTGTTAAAAAAGGTCGTTGGGTAAGTAGGCACTGCTAACATTTCCACGTAGCCATATAGTCATGAGAATAAAATACACAATTGTTATTTATTATTACAGTGACAATTATTATTGAGAAGTAATGAAGTGAGTTATTGATGCAAGTTTAAAATATATGTGGTACAATTATAGGTATATCTATAGAATTTAAAATTTTGGTATAATATACAGAACATATACCATGAATATTATTTCATGCCTTATAAATAATAAGGAACTCTATAAATATTTATAATATACCTACGTTTAAGTATACATATGTTGTATAAATATGTTTAAACAACATAATATTATACAGAAATATAAAATAATTACATTGCAATAGCATTATATACGTGTAAGATAGTAAAAATTTAATTTAATAATAAGTCAAACAATTTAAAAAAAAAAATCAATGTTTCTCGTTTTTATATGGAAAATGTTAAACGTAAGACACTACATAGTATAATAGATTTAAAAGTAAACCATGTAATTTAGTTGATCACTGTAAAGAATTTGTTAAATGTAATTTAACGGTAAGTATCTGGAAAAATATATATAAAAAAAAAAGTATTTGAGTGGAGACTTTGTTCATTGTAAATTATTATATTACGTAATTGTGATAAGTATTCTTAACTTTTGCGATTAATATTTTTTAAATTAAAAAAAAAAAAATAATATTTTTTATTTATAAGTCATCTGATTTTGTCATAATTTAAACTATGTTTATGTGAAAAGACTTGAGTCAAAAATTACTGTTTTTCGGGAGACATATTAAACTTTTCTAACTTTTTGTCTTTTTAACATTTTTAGACTTTATATTCATAACCATGTTTAGTACCTTTTTCTATACAATACATTTCATTTTTGTTCATTTTTTATGAGTACTAATGATTTATGATGTATTGTATGCGTTTATATTGGATTTATGCCCTTAGAATTAAGACACAATGTTATTATTATAAATACTTATATATTTATTTGAAAACCGTGGATAAAAACATATTATTTTTATTAATTTGATTTATATTTAAAATTAAAAATCAATACATTATTTAATGAAAAAAATCTATTTAGTATATTTCTAAAAATAAAATTGCAACACATTTTATAGTAATTCAAATAAATCAATAAGTTGTTGAAAACTTGATAAATAAACTAAAAAAATTTCAATAAATTATGTACCTTATTTGGAAAAAAAGACAATATATTTTAGAAACTAATAGTTACAACTAGGGCCTAGATTTATGTGCTGAAAAATCCATGAAATATAATATTATGAATATGCAAAAATATGCAACATCTTTTTTTTTACAAATTAATTGTGTATTTTTGTTCTTAATTATTATTTTTTAAAGGTTTAAGAAATCGTGGAAGTTGCTTTGATTTATATCATTGATCTTAAAATTATCTTTCTCTAGCCACCTTACTCACTGTGACTAATCAACCAATCATGAAAATGATTTATTAAATTAGGGTACCTTTTTCAAGCTTTTTCAATAATTTCATGGTAAAAATCACACTACATTTAAGTGTGTCTAGGAACCATGGATTTTCTATTACTGAAATGAATTTATACTTCTTTAATAAGCATAAATACAACCATAATTATGGTATTTGTGTTCTGACTTCCAAAACAATCATTATACATTATTACACGATTTTTTTAGCTGAAAGTTTACCTAAAGATATAAATAAACATAAATCTATTTCATTAGCTTCTTTTTTAATCATAAAAGATTTGGCTCACTCAAATATAACATAGTGTAGTCTGAAGAAAGAATAATATCGAATAATACGTTCATAGTTGTAGCTTATAAAATATATTTGATGGTTTTAAAGATGGTTTTGGAATAAATTTATTTAATCTTTAAACTAAATTCTTTAAAATGTTTCTCATAGACTGTTTTACATATCGGTTGTAAAACAGACTTTTTTAGTCACCATATAAAAATGTAGTACGAAGTAAGAATATAAATAGTTATTAACCATCTCTTCCCGACAATAGTGTTTTTCATAACTTCTTCTTAATACATTTTTTAACTGATGCTATATTCTAAACATTCTTTTTATTTTTTGGTTTATTACGTCTTTTTTTTTATCTGGAGTAGCTTTATTTTCTGGAGAGTTTAATTTTTGTCTACAAAAACTCCTCAAAAATGTTGTCATTTCCCCATATATTTTAAGGAAATATCGAGTTTCAAATTAATTTGTTCAGTCACAAAATAACGACGAGTATTGTTTCTTATTGTTTGATCTTCTGATGTATTTGTTATTTTTTAGCAGTTTTTTTTTCAACTAAAAATAATATATCCTGAATAATATGCAACTCTTTCCTCATAATTTTCCATGGATTAATTTGTACTAAATAACTTTTTTTATAAGTCGTTATCTATTTTAGAGTTACATTCTGCTCTATAATTAAATAATGGCACAGAACATGTAAGATTTTACAGTTTTTCTTTTATTAGTTATGTATTCTAAACTTGCATTTCTATTAGTTTTTCGATACTGTCTATATTTTACAGTATTATATTTAATGCTTATTCTTATTTGTTTTCTTAGAATGGTCTACTTGTTCAATGTTCGTTATCTGTTACTTATATCTAACCTTATCAATAAATCATACTGAAATTATCATTTAATTAATTATTACTATGAATGTATTAATGTTTTTGTCTTAATACGTGGTTTTTTAAAATATATATTATGTTTTGTACAAAACAATTTTCTTCTAGCAGTATTTTTTTATTTTATTGTCATAATTTCAACGTGAGCTATAATAAGATGATAATAAATAATTATAAATTATAATATATGTAAGGATATAATTTTATTATAGAAATATTTACTTATATCGTCTTACATGTTGCATTCTAATAAAATAAATATATTTCAGAAAAATTACTTGAATATAAATGTAACTAAGCATTTAGGTAACTTTTAAATACCTACTAAAATAATAATTTTAATGATATAATGTTTTTAATTTTTAATTACCAATGGCCTAGACAAAAGGTGTTAAAAAAAATTAATATTAAATAAACTTTTGATTTTTCTATGGCTTGTACCAATTTTTACCATTTATTTTAGAGTTTTCATCTAAAACTATTTCAGAAAAAATACATTTTTCCCTGGAAAATTTGCTTCTTTGCTGATAATTTGGTTAAATATTATATGCATATAATTTAAAATATTATGTTGGAATTGAAAAAGCTATAAAGGTTAAGACATTGTGGATATAAATTATTTAATGTATCTGCTCAAATAAAAAAAGTATTCAATCAAGCAGAAAATTAAAATTAAAATGTTAGTATAAAAAGTCTTTATTTAGTAGTATTTTGGTTATGTTATGTATAATTATTGATTTGTATTTCATTTATTTTACTTTAAAATCGGAGAGTTAAAAAAAAATAAAAAAAAATATGCAAATAAAACTATAAACTATATCACTGAGTCCGAATAGTATCAATACAAAACCTGCATTGAAATATAAAAAATAAATGTATAGGATATTAAAATACGTATTATGCATAAGCAGTTATTATACATTTTTTATAATATCTATTTATAATTGTTATTATACGAATCATATATAATAAAATTATTTTACATACTCGTAAAAGTCACAGAAATCTAATATTCTAATACGCAATCTATATAACTTAATTGTTAATGATATTTTAAATAATAAACATAATAATATTTACGAATCGTTAATCCTCGACAACATATTTCCTTAAATATTAAATTTTAAATACGTAATTTATACATATTTTATAATAATATCCGATAGTTGATAATAATTCATTTTAAAATGGTGTCATATTATAATATAAAATAAAATATGAAATATAACTGACTGTTCTCTAACTTTTAATATACTGGAGTATTATGTCTACAGTTTAATTTCTTGATCTTAACTTGATTTTGATTTTCGTTAAGTGTTTATTATCAGAGCTAGTGGGTTTCGGTAACGCGGTTAACCCGAATTCGATTAAATAAACTAAAAATATCACATTTCTTACAAAACGACCAACACCCTATATTAAAAAAAAAAAAAAAAATCTCGGGTAAACAAAATATTCAAGTCTTACAAACAAGTAACCTGAATATTGTTTGGAACGTATCTTTTTGTTTTGAGACGTTTCTTATCAAGTTTTAGTAACGGTGATATTGGTAGGCGAGTGATTGGTGTTTATTTTTTCTTTAAACGTTGAAGAGGAATTTTACTGTCGATCGGTTTTACGACAACAACTGCATCGGCGACAAACAACCCCAGCCATCCTTGGTTCGGTCAACTTCGATGGGGTATGTGGGGATAACCGCGTTGTTGGCATGCCGTCGCCGCAGCTGATAAACCGGACACCCGGTGCGCGGTGAAAGGAGAACCTCCTTAGGCGGCGGCGTCGGCGGCAGCAACATCAGTGTTTGTGGCTGACGGGCGCAGGTCGACGGCGGCAACGTTTCAGTTGGCCTCCGGTCGTCGCGTGTGAATTGTGTCTTCCGTCCGGGTCGTACTCTTGCCACTTGCGTTGATACTGATATTTTAAAAACACGTTTTTCCGTTGTATTTTTTATTTTGATTGTCTTTTCTCTTACAAAAGTTTCACTTGCCTATATTGGATTCGATAAACCCCCGTCGTCGTTAACGAGTAGTGAAATAAAATGATAGTGTATGACATACTATATTATACTGTCTAGGTAAACACAGTTGCAAAATATCGTGCCGCCTTCGGATTGTTTATTTTTAAACTTCAGTCGTCCGACGGTATCTTGTGAGTGTGTACCACGTGTTGTAAATCTTGTCTCACGTCTCGTTTGCGTACAATCTTCTTTTTTTTCACGACGCCTTCTGGTTAACGAATGTGCAGTGACTTAACGACAGCTTGAAAACAAACGTAAATATTGTTATTATTATTTTAATTAACAACAGCATGTGGTTTTGCCATAAGTATTTTACGTTCGTGTTAGATTATACGATCTATTGACACTCATGATATCGTGATTTGTGATAATTATCATTAAGGCACATGTAAATTCCACCAATTGCAACCTCTTAAGACCTATTTTTCATTCAAATTCCACCAGTTTGTTTTTTTTACCTGAAAAAAATTGTAAATTCCACCCGAAAAATTTTTTTACCTGAGAAAAAATGTAAATTCTACCAGTACATTTTTATTTTTATAAATATTCTGATTTACCCTTTTAAATTTATTATAAATTAATTAGTAATACAGTATAGGTACGATATAAAATTATTAAACACGCAATAACAATAAAACAATATTAAGCAATAATAATAATAAGTTACAAGATAATAGGTAAATAATTTTTGTACATATTTATTATTTATACATAGGTAATATATTATTTAAAATCCAGATACTTATATTATTTTTTACACAAATTTAAAAAAAATAGGTAGTAATTAATTATGATCATTAGTTAGTAGTTGCTTATTTTACCAGCGGTAAAGTTACACGTTTTCAGGTCAAAAATACCGGTGGAATTTACATTTTTCAAGTAAAATAAAACGTACCAGTGGAATTTACATATTTTAAATTAAACTCAAAAATTGACTATCTATAAATTGGTGGAATTTACAATCACTCGATCAAAATTATACAGATTATAATATATACATACATGAAAATTATCATCCATGATAAGTACAACAGATTATAATAAGTTAAGTAACAATTTAACTAGTTATTATAATTTTGTGATAAAATTATATTTGGACATAAATGATTATTAATATTATTGTTATAAAACTATAATAATCATCTTTATTGTGAAAATTAATTAATTACCGAATTAAACCCTCAACATCAGCAATAGATATTTGTATATTACCTAATAATTATTATAAATTCACGATCTATTACTACCTGTTTTAATTTTTAACTACGTATTTAACTGTCACCTAGAGTTTAGTGATCGTGTGTTGTAATATAAGGGTAAGACGAGACTTTTAATATAATATAACTCATTGTATCTACTATGTTGACTTTTTAAAAAAAAAATCTTAAATTATATATTAAATATAAGTTCATGATTCTAAATTTTAATTTTGAAAAAAAGTAGAATAAAATACAGATTTCTGACACTTAAATATGCCTTTTTTTATTTTTAATATTTTACAAAATAACACACTCTTATAAAACAAATAAATATATAAATATATATAATTATAATTTCTAAAATAGTATAAAAAGTATCTGATATTAAATGAATAATGAGTATTGTCTCACTATGCCTTACGTAAATTACTTATTTTAAACTGCACAATTGAATAATTCATTCATTTTTAATAATAAGATAGCAAAATATATGACTACATATGACAGTAGTGTATAAATACATTATAAAAGTTAGACTCTACTTAATTCATTAAAAATGTATTTGTTATTCTTACCGTAAAATAGTTGAGAAATGTATACTATATAACTCGTTAAGAAAGGAAAATAGAAAATCACTGCTTTTAGCTGGTAATATCTTATGATCAAAAATCATCTAAATTGTCATTATAAATTATTAAAACAAAGTTTTATAAATATAATAACATACTGACTTGGAGGAATACTTGTGTTTTTGTACCCGTGTTCACCTTTATATAGATTTTTTAAGTGTGAAGAGTGAATTATTAATATATTAATACAAAATAACATCAATACATTTAGCATCATGACTTGTGTTATACTTATAAGTTATAACAATTAAGTAAAATATATATGTAACCGAAAACTAATAAATGGTTTCTATCCTTTTTATGTATTTAAAACTCAGTGATGTTGAATATTAATACTACTTGCAGTAGTAGTAAATTAATGAAACATAGTAAGAACAGTGGCCACCAAGGTCGATATGTGAATAATATAGATGTTATAAATAGCAATCGGTTGTATCAATAAATTATATTTTTAAAAATAGGATATTTTAGGAAAATTGATAAGTCTTCTTTTTAATAACATGATTGCTGATAATCATTCACTAAATACCTATTGTATTGACATCTATAATACCTATTCAGGATTATAATGATTTAAATGAGTATGAATCTTTATAATAATTAGTCAGACCATATATTTTTCTATGTTATATTTATTTTTCATGGATAAAAATTAAGTTAACTAAAGGTAGCAAAAAAAGTTAAAAAGGATACCAAATGGCGTGATTCCCAAAAAAAACGTTCTGATAACTTTTGTGCATATTACCATTAATTAAAACATAGGTTATATCATTACATATTGTTTAGGATACTAAATGATTATTTTACTAAAATATTTAATACAATGTCTAATTTATTTTGATATTAGTGGATAATGTTACAACTTTAAGGTCTATGTATAGGTTAAAAGTTAGAATAATAATAATAATAATAACTATTTAGTTATTTTGAATTAAAGAGATAAATAAAAAAAAAAAAAAAATGTATAGAGTGTAAGTAGCTTGTATATTGTAATCTTTAATGTATACAAAAAAAAAACAATTATATAATTATAATTTATTTTTATATTAATATAGTTATTAAACATTATGATTGGCACATGATCTAATTTGTTCAATTATCCATATGAGAAAATTCGGCCATTACCACATTAACCAAGTATCGCGTGACTCTCAGTATGGTAATATACGAAATATACCTAATATAATGAATAAAATATGTTAATAGATTTTCATATTGTAAATGCTTTCCCACTTCATGTATTATCATTTTAACTGCTGTATGCACTATACCCGGAGTATTTTTGAATTTAGATTACGTATTCATCTTATATAAAAAACCGGTTTTTTTAGATATTTTTTATAACTTCCAGCAGGCCCAAACTTAATTTAAACCCCTGAATAAATACTTTGTATTAATACTGTCATTTTATACATTTTCATTAATTTAGGTTTATTGTAAACATATATTAAAAAAGGGAGGATTCAAGTGAACTTCGTTATCGAGGAGCAAATCATTGAAATTTAAATGTTAAATCAAAATTAAATAATAAATCATTGCTTATGAAAAATGGTTTTGAGCTAAGAAATTAGCCTACTACCTATATGTATTCCCGAGTATATTTGATGACGCCTATATTCATATTGACATATTGTTATTAAAGAAATGTATTTCATACATTAAGTACTACAGTTAGGTATATTTTTCCTGTTATTCTAAAAAGTACTAGAATTTATCGATCTCTTAAAATACCAACTAAGTGTAATTTGTCAAAGATCTATACTGATCCTAAAAATTATGTTAGATACACACACATATTATTATAAAACCAAATCATTCATCGTTTTGCTCATAGTCCATGTCTGTATTCGTGAATTTATTTAATCATATCGGTTAGTTTTGTTGGAAAAATAATTAAAGATTTTCTAACATTTTTAAAAACGATAGTTTCAGCGGAAATTTTAGTAAGTAGGCAAAGATCAATAATACAGAATATTATGTATATGGCTTTTCTATAGTACCTACTCAGTTTTTAGTTTATCCATCAGTTTATTTCTAGAATTCTTGAAAATTCTCATCCATTTTCAAATATAATATTTAAATGTAATTTGTATTATGTATGGTTAAATACATATTTAGAGATTAACAAAATTTCAATAATCTTTATCAAATTAATGATTTGATTATATGGTTATGTATCAAATTATACCTACATATTATAAGAAATATTTTACTTAAAATGTTTAATTTATTATGATAAAACACATTTGTAAAATATATGGTAAATAATAGTTATTGATAATTTATAATTTTTTTTCCATTCAATTGAAATACCATTTATGATTTCCATTTCCTTACCTTAAATATATTTTTACAGATAATAATATAATAATATAACCATAGAAAACTCTAAGTTACATATTGTTTATTTTACCATCGCTGCTTTAGTATGATACACATTTATTTGAAAATCTATAGACATTTACTAAGGATTATTTTTGTTTTTATAAATTTAAGCTGTTGGTATTTAATAATGTAGTTTATTGATTTTATAAATTATAAATACGATATTTTAAACAAAGCTTGTACGTTATCATGCAATTTTAATAACAACAATTAGCTTAAATTTTCTTAATTGAATATCCCAGTTAAGTATTTTAAAGATTTATTTCAAATTCTCTTTATACTTATTCATTGAATACATAAAAATAAATTCTAATATATATCACATGACCATCCTTCCATGGATTCATCACATAACTTCTTTTTTTTACACATGAAGTATCCTAATATGTATGTTATATTATATTAGACATGCCTACTTTATTTATTATTATTATATTGTATTACATTTATACTTGGTATCAAAAAAAAAAAAAAAAAAAATACACGAATTGTTTAAAGTTCATATTTTTTTCTCTTATATTATATTATATTTAAATCCAGAATAAGACTTTTTAATTTCTGATTATTAAAAAATTAGTTTTTAATTAGGTTTTAAAAATTGTATTTTCCATGACAATTATATTATATTAAAATTTAAAATATACTACCAAAAATTATTCTTTCTTAAAACATCAAAATAAATTACCTGTATCTTAACTTACTCAATATTTTTTGTATTTTGTATTTTTTTTAAATTTTTATGTTGTATACATTTTCTTAAATAAAACAAGTCAGATTCAACTTATTTATTTATTTTATTGAATAAACAAAATATTTTTAATAACCTAATGGCAATGAATATATATTTTAACACTTAAAGTAAATTAGTCAGGGTTATTCCTGAATAATTATTAATTTAAAATAGTTTGATTATATAATGACTAATATAATTTTCATTAGGTTATAACTTAAACATTTAGGAATATATGCATATACCATTAAATATTTTGATAAACACAATATATTTTTAAAAAGTTAAAATTATCCAGGAAAATACCATTA